AAAAAAAAGTTTACAGCAGTTCCAAAAGCTTTGAAACATGTGTATCTTGTGTAAATCAGAGCTTTAAGGGCTCGTCAGCCATATTATGCTCCTCCCAGTGCATAAAAGCATAAAAGTTCCATTAAAGCAACTACTTCATGATGAAATATCGACAAAATAATCAGCCGCCTGTGTGCAGAGATCAAAGAGGTAAAGCTTCTATCATAAGGGACCTTTAACAGCCAGCACTTTTAAACTAGGATTGTGAGGGGCAATAATGCATAATGAGTGAATGCGCGTGTGCATGCAACTCACCGAGTTCCAATAAAACGCAGATAAGCCGCAGCAGGGAGACGAGCTCGCTGCAAGCCCAGCTGCACGTGGGTAGGATATGGACAGGAACCTTGCCCCTGGCTCAAAATCAGAGCTCCATTTTGCAGGAGCAGAGATACTGAACTAAACCAATTGCCCCAAACACAGCTGTGAAGCAGACAGGGCCGTGTCTGAAGAGTGCATCGCTGATACACTAAAATCAGAGGGTATGGGGCAGGCTGCAGCAAAATGCAAAGAGGGCAAGGTCGCAATTGATTTTTCGAGCCTGGGCGGGTGCCAGATCCACTGAGGGAATAAAAACACTCGTCACACTGTGTGAAAAACACATATAGCATAGTGATATACAGGCTTTTCTATGGACGTACTTTCAAAAAACTAAACGTATGTGGGAATGCGTCACTTTTTTTTATCAAGTCTGAGCTTAGCGTTCGGAAACAAGGACCTGATCAAAGCCTCTGACAGGTCTTTTGTCCTGGAATGCGGCGAGTTGTTTTTCACCTTGCTCCAGTCGCCACTGATTAGCTGACAAGGCGGCTAACCACCCTCTCCCCTATTTCCAAATTAATTTCCCTCCTTTGATAAAGACAAGGGGGGGTGTTTAATGGCCATGTCCTTCAAAACTAAGAGTGCTAATAAGTGTGAAAAGGAGATTTGTTTAAGTGATTTTCTTTGAGACTTGCCGGCATGGAATTAATTACCTTGATTAAATATTGTCTGTACGGCTGATGAAAGATATAGAGCAGAATTAGCGGTCCCTTGTTGAACTTGTATGGTGCTGAATGAGATGTGTCCCGATTACAAAGCCCAAAATGATGGCAACACTCAAAGGAGACAAAGAGCTAAAAACAGGCCTAGTGACATCACAGAGCAGCCACAGGCCTAATGCTTAATGGCCGCCATCCTCCAAACTCAAACAAACTGGCTTCAATCTATCTTCCATAATAACTTTCTATAATACTGAATATTTATGTGTATTAAAACCAAAGGACTGAGAAAGACCTATTTCCTGTGGCAAAAGGAGCTGGTTGGGTTAAGTCTCCAAAACAACCTGAAGCCTTCTGAGGGGCGTTTTCAGCCAAAAACGGGAAACTTTTTATGCGTTTTGCCTGTTCGTTTACACGACAACGTCGTTTTGGGGACTGAAAACGAATATTTTTGAAAATGGGTTTCAAAGTGCAAGTTTTTGAAAACGCCACCATTGTTGTTTCCGTGTAAACACCCAAAACGGGAATCTTTGAAAACGGTGATGTCATGCGCGTGCATAGTACGTGTTAGGTATGTAGACACGCGCAGTACGTGTCGATTTTAAAGGCAAGCGCGAACAAACATACACACAACAATGGCGGAGTACATGGTACTGTTGTTGCCGTTTAAGAGTTTGCTAACGCTTCTTCAGCAAAGTGTGGATTCACTTCACCAATATTACAAACAACAGCGGAGACGCATCATATACACACGGCAACAGGTACTGTTTACTAACAAGGTGACAGCGTCAACTACTAGCCTGGCATGCGTAATATAGCGTTTTTGGCCATTTTCGCGGATATGTGTAAACGCGAATCATTTTGAAAACGTTGTCATGTATACGTGAAACTTTTTAAAAAACACAAGGGAAAAACTTTTCAGTTTTTGACTACATCGTTGTCGTGTAAACTTAGCCTGAGTCATTTGGCTGAAGAGTTATAACTCAATTCAATGCTTGCCTAGGTTTTACAGAGGCACTAAGGGGACTAAACAACCTCTCAGTGGCTCTTCCAGCCATAATCCCACCGAACTTCTGCCTCCTAAACACAGAAGAAGGCTTTCTAAAGGCTTCACATCACAGCTCAGCTATACTCTCAAACCCAAACACACACAACGACAAACCCCCACCTTTCTGTGAATGGGGGGAGTTTTCTACAGCTGGGTAACAAAGCATGACCCAATGATCCTCAAGCCTGACTCAAAGCTAGAACCTCCTCTCTAAGGACTTTATAAGACATAAGGTGCGTTCGACTTGAAGCACCGCTACAGATGGCAGTCAACGAGTAGCCGTGATCGGTTTGCGCGGCGCCGCATGAAGTCGAACGCACCTAGAGACTGTGGGTCGGGTGGGGTGGCTGAATTACACAAACAAGAATTAATTATTCTTATCAAATCGGTTTCCTGTAACAAGCTGTCCATCCCTTAATATTTGGGGCAGAAAATCTAACCATTCATGGGCTAACGATTAATTTAACATCTACCGCATCCTCAGGCTTTGGTGCTTCACTATGGCTATGGCTTTCGGAAAGAGAACAAATTATGTTGTGAACTTTCTGGCAAACTTCGGAGTAAGCCTGGCTTACTATGAGTAAGTGTCTGTGTATGAATCTTTGCAAGCTTGCATTTTGGAGAACATGCTGAATAAACGTTAAAAGCGGTTTACACCGTTGCTGTGTCTTTGAGGGTTTTAAACAGGTCTAAAGGAAACTGTGGCATTGATGAGTCAAAGCTACAACAAAAATGGAGACAAAAAGAGTATATTGAAGCATGCACGGGTGGATCTTGCAGTTGTATTGGTGAGAAGAAGAAAAAAACACACACACTGCACATTTTTGAGACAGCTCATGGTTAACGACACAAGTAATGAACTCCCCTATTTAGATGCAGTTTCTGTACCCATCAAAACCAAAGAACACAATCTACACACGCAGAGCAAAACAGAATGCAATTACACTTGCTTTATCAACTGGTGACGTCCCCTTACTGTCAGATGCCTGAAGGATCTATTCTGTCCATTGTTACTTTTACAATCCAAAAGACTGTGCTTATTCACACTTAAAAGGTTAATGTTTAAAAACTCAATCCAAGCTGAAACGCTGTGCATTTTTGTCATCTGCTCATTATCATCAGAGTTAAAAATATAAACTAGAACTACTTCACGTGACACTATCAAAATAATGTATGCAGAATAACAAAACTGAGACGAAGGCCTTTAAATTACAATAGCCGTGACAACTGCCAAGTCAATTCTGCCAAGAATATTCTTGAATATACGGTAACTTTAAAAACACAAAATAACTAACTAGATTTGTTTAACTTGAAAAAGGGGCTACACTGACTCTTGAAGGGAGCTTTTCAAGGTTGCTAAATAAGTGCCCATGTTATTTCATTACAGCTAGGTTATCACGTTTCCACTAACACTGGCCTTTTAAAGGGACACAGTGGATCGTTGTGAGAATAAATGAATCATGGCTTCTTTATTGAATTAGTTATATGTATACTTTCACTACTCTCATAACACCTACAATTATTGGAGATTTGGGGCTTCCTGTAACTGCTATTTCAAGAAAAGAAAGCTTAAATTATAGGAAAACTGTGGTGGGTCTACTAAAAGACAGATTTTTTTTTTTTGCTTTATACTGTTAGTATATCCTATATAGCCTAAATATTTAATATTGTGAAAGGTTTTGTTGATCTTAACTAAAGCCTCAAGCCTTAAACATTATAAATGTCATATTGAGCCTTACAAGTGAGGTGCAATTTTACGACTTCAAACAAGCACTTCATTTATAATTTTGTGCTTTGGAAGCATACAAAGGTCTGTGCTTATTTTTAAAAATCACTTTTCCCTTTCTTTCACGATAGTATTTTGCCAGTATGTTTACTGAAGTGGAGCGAGTGGGGGAGGAAAATGTATACACATTTGGGCAGCCATTGAAACTGCCTTCGTGCTCTAAATACCAAAGCCTTCTCGAGTTGTTTTGACAATTTTTTTGATTTAGCACATTTAAATGAAGCTTGAAATTGCTGTGACAGTTTTCTATGGTTTAGAAAAACATCTTTACACACCAAAAAAACTTGCTATTCGGCGAATACAGAAGAACTAGCCCGATGTGAGGGGGCATTGAGCTATTGTGCTGTAGCCTCTACGAGGACAACCCAACGACACAATTAGCCGAATAGTACATTTTTTTTACTCATTTTAACGCTTATATCAACGAAGGGTCTTCGAAATAAAACAACAGAGGGCTAGATGAAGTCTAGATACATGTTTTATCAGTCGTTTTACTACGGCAAATACGAGTCCTTTGTCTTGACTAACCAGCAAATAAACAAAAGATGTGGGATTTGGATTCAAGCGGATTACCCTGGACTTAATTATATCAAGAGATACAGCAACAACACATACGTAGAGAAAAGCTAATACTAAAACTTTAAACTGGAATATTAGCAACAAAATAGCAGCGCTGTGTGCTACAACAGAGATTCATTGTGACCAGCACGTTAGTCTTTTCTTCCTCGCGACCTGGGAAAGAATGTTCCGTTTCGACAGACCTCATTGTGTTCGTTCAAATATACACTATTTAGCATCAGCTTTAGTCTTTTCTATAACTTATAAGGCATATAATTGTTTTATCAAGTGCTATATGAACATTGCAGCCACCGATTCCAAGGAATTCCACATTAAAGCCTATACCCAACGGGAAGAAGCCCTTTAATTTTTAAAACGTGCGCTCCGTTTCTTTAGCAATACGGCAGGCGTTTAAACGCTCCCTTACTGGCAGTGAGAAATCGCTATGTAGAAACAAAGCTGCTGCATTACAGCTACTAAACGAGACCACTTCCATTTTTCTCAAGAAACTTCGTTCGCTGGAAAAGTGAAACAAATATCTCTGATGTAACTTTCAACGTAGGCTATTCTAGACGGTTAAAGCGGCACTTACCGACTTGTAAGACGTTGTCCACACAACCGGTTTCCAAAAGCCGGATTCCCCGGCGGAAAGGCAGTCCATCTCCGGTACCCCCCGTCCCTGCGCTGCCTGTTGTGTTCGTAATCCCTCCGGGGACTGTAACGTTACTAGATCCAACGGACGAGCTCGAGCCCACTACCGGACCCTCTTCCCCCGCCACTCGGCACTGAAATGACGAATACATACATATTTCCCTTTCGTTCCTCGGGAACGACCAATACACGATACGGCGCTGAACCGGTTCTGGGATCCGCTCGAAGCGCTCCTCCACCCTCTCGAAGGCCCATTTCTCCGCTACGGCCTTCGCGGCGCAGTCCAGTAGAGATTCCGGGCAACGAAAACGAGAGTTCGGAAATCCCGGGCCAGGCCCCGGACCCGGTCCTCGAGGAGCGGGACGCAAGCACGGACGCTTGCTGGCTGGGGGTAAGGAGAGGTGTAGCGGCGGCTGAGGCAATAGTTCTCCACGTCCCTCCGCCATGACAACCAAATAAACACTGAAGTGAGGACCGTGGCTCTAGAAGCGCACAGACTGAGGCACCGCACAACGGGAGGGTCGTCACTTCACACACGTCACTACCAATAACAAACGCGCTCTAGCCAATCGCGAGGACGCGCTGCACCGAGGTGATGCGCATGTGTGCGCTGAACTGACAGGCACGGTGTTGATAGGACGGACTGTTTGTGACAAACTCCTCATTATTTACAACTCGTGCACTCTAAATCTATGATCTGCTGCAGTGTGTTTTGTGTTTAAACATCTACCGTTGGCTCAACGGCCAGCAGAAGCGCAGAGACGTTTGTTTTTAAAAAGGCACCTATTCGTGTCAGCATAACGATACAATCTACATTCTCTGAATGTACAAGATGTGTGCAATGCATGTTTTGTCCTTTCAAGCGTTGTAAAAATGCGGAGAACTCTCCAGCTGCCGTTTGAGTTTGGTGTGACAAAAAGTTTGAAATGTTTCTATGATAATGTAACTCTTCAAAGATGTCTACTACCCACCCTGGTGGCCAAGTATATAATGTCAGTTGATTGGTGCTGTCAAGATTCATCTAATCATGATTAGAAATTGATGTACTTGTCATAACTCATGTAGATATCAGAAACGTGTATTTCTTTCATGTATTGCACCCTGCGGAATTTTTTTTCGTAGGTATAGGCAAAAAAAACTGTAACTGTAATGAGCTTAGGACTCCATTCACACATTAAAACATTAGAAAAATGGCATTTTAAATTCAACACATGGATAAAAAAACATTTAATAAAAATGTTTATAATGATTTCTTTTTAATATATAATGCCAGTTGATTGGTGCTGTCAAGATTCATCTAATTATGATTAGAAATTGATGTAGGCTACTTGTCATAACTCATGTAGATATCAGAAACGTGTATTTCTTTCATGTATTGCACCCTGCGGAATTTTTTTTCGTAGGTATAGGCAAAAAAAACTGTAACTGTAATGAGCTTAGGACTCCATTCACACATTAAAACATTAGAAAAATGGCATTTTAAATTCAACACATGGATAAAAAAACATTTAATAAAATTTTTTATAATGATTTCTTTTTAATTAATTCATTCAGCAAGGACGCATTAAATTAATCAAAAGTGACAGTAAAGACATTTAATGTGACAATAGAAAAAAAATCGATTGCAAATGATTGTTCTCTTTTGATCGACACACTTAAGAAACTTCACCGCATGCCCTGTAAATACAGTGACTCCTGCAGCCGGCTGTTGTCATCTCCCACCTCTTAGCAGCTCCAGGCCAATTATATGTTTTATTGTTCATTTTGATATCATTTTACTTGATTGTTTTTAAAAATGTCCTATGAGATCTGCAAGACAAAGACCATCAAGAGTGCAGATGATACTAATGCTGCCCACAACATTTATTGCAATTCTCTTGACTTCATGCACACAACGATGGCCTGAGGGCCACTGACAACTTGCTGATATTTGTATCTTGTCTAACTCTGCTGACATGCACTTCGTTAGGTGTCATGTTAACATTGCAACCCGAGAATGACAGAATTAAGTAAAAGATTACATTTTTCAACCAAACTGAAACTTGACATCTTGTCCATTTATTTATACAAGGGCATGTTTTTCATTTTTGGCTCTAAACACTGGGAATGTTTTTTAGATTGTTTGTTTATATGTTTATTTGTCTGCTGCCTCTTAGGGAACCAGAACAGCAGGTGTGGGGAGAAGTAATGACAGGACTCCATTTTACTGGCTGTCACATCCCAGCATGCTCGCTGCTGTCCAGTCGAGTGCACCGACTGAAAGATGACAAGCTGACAGCTCACCACACAGGATACCAGGCGTCTAATGACATTCTGCGAGTCCTCTGTGTGAGTGTGTAAGTCTCTGTGTGTATGTGTATATGTATATGCATGACAGTCTGGAAGAGGGAGTCTTGTCACTTCTGGTGCTTTTCAAAGCACCCTGGGCTCCCAGAGTACGGAAATGTCCTTGAGGGCAGAGACATCGGTTTTTTTTAAGCACAGCACCCCACATGCCAACCACGACAGTTATTATGGAGGTGAATCGAAGGCAATGTTTTTCTGCTATCGGATATTTTTATCAAACATTTTCATTCTAAGCCAGCGCAGTTGTGTTATAGTACTGATTACATCTGATTCAAGTGCTTCCTAACCTGATCGCACCAGGATTTTTTCTCAGGATCGCTCGTCTGGGGGAATGTTGCCACATCAACACAAATCGAACAGTGGACCAAACTATAATGGCGCTGGACGCTACCAGTTTCCAAGGCAACAATTGTGACAGATTTGGGGGAGACAAGACATGTAATTGGAAAAAGATTGATGGGGTACAAGAGAGTGGAAAAAAACCCTATCAAAGGAGGTCTCTCTGGGAATAACAACAATACAATAAAGGGTCTTGCATCCTTTTGAGCCATCAACAGCCTCCTGTCCATCTATTTTCAGGCCCAATTCAATGGCTTCAACACATCTGTCAGTCTTCCGTCATGTGAAAGTATACAAAAAGATTGCGTATTGCTAAATGAAGCGGCATCAAAAATTATTCATCTGCAAGGCTTAGACAAGAACGCATTTTGGTTTTGGTTTTAGGACAACTTTGATGAATGGTTTTGATCCACTTCAAATGTTGACTAGTATATATTACAATGCACCTTTCCATTCATTTCACGCCGCTTCTTCCTCTAGGCTCTGTGTGGACTTGGCAAACTCAAGCAGGGTGTTGCTCAGCCTGACACAGTGTCTAAGAATGCGCAGAAGCCTCTAGGGTTAATGGTTAAGACTGTGTCACAACAGTCATTTTCAGCATAACCAAACCAAACAAGCAAGAACGTATGTGTATATCAGGTTTTGACCGCCTTCCCCTCTTCGTATGCAATGATGTCAGCAAGATCGGGGCAGGTTGTGGCTCTTTGCCGTGCGGCGGTTGGAGAGGGGAACAATGGCGGTGTTGATAGAGAACCCAGCTCCACCTGTAGGGCCTGATTTCTATCTTCGCAGCGGTGTGGCGGCCCCCTCCCCCAGGCCCTTCTTGTCATCGCTCTTTGCAGCGTTCATTAAATGGAGTCAGACTTTAGCAAGAGAGGAGAGCCCAAGTCACCCATGTGAGAAAAAAAGAGAATTACCTAAGCCTTTTGTCTCACAGAGTGTGGCTCAGCTAATGTCTTGAAGGCATGCTGATCTCTTCACAAAGCCTTCTCCCCACACAATAGAGAAGACAGCATGTAGTTTGGCATGCAAAACGTATAAAGCCCAACCTCTTTGTTGCCTGTGGTGAGAGGTTTTTAGTCTCATTTGGTCTGTTTGATTGGGCTGATAAGATGTCTGTCAGGGTCAGGTCAGACTGAGCATTTGTTGTGCTGACAGTGTGATGATTGAGACATTGGTGTCAATTAGGTGTTTGTGTATTGGGCCCGGCATACCTGCCATTACTTTAGCATGCTGGCTTCTTCCCACAAGTGTGCCAGCGTCACCTCCTTTATGCCTCTTTGTCTGTGTATTCCCTCACTCGGGCTCACAGAAGCTAAATTTATGACTGGGTCCATCCTCGTCCACTCAACCCCCCGTTCGCCGGCCGGTTCTTCGATGTTCACACCAGAAGTGACAGAAGCTCTTAGCCCCTCTTCACACATCCACACCCTCTTTCCTCATCTGTGCCGTGCCCTCTCTCTCTTTCCCTCATTCGCCTTCTTCCTCCCCCAATCCTTACTCTTTGTTGTGGCCTAAAGCTATTTAAAGGGTGCAGGATGGAGCTGGTCTCATGAGAGGGTCCGGGACAAATAGTAGAAGTGTTTACTGTGGAGGCACTGAGATGTCCTTCGGGGCTGTGCTGAGCATGTAGCTGCAGGAAAAAGCACGGATGAAGGCCTTTGTGTCGCCCCCTTTCACCTGTCCACAGGAATCCTCCAGTCAGGGGTGTGTATTTGAGCACTTGAGTATACTAACAAAGTACAATTACTCAAGTATTATTTGGGGGAATTTGTACTTTACTCAAGGGCTGTTGAAATTATTTTACTCAATCAGGTTTCTAGAAAAACAATCCTATTTCAAAAGAATCCTGGAACAAAATGCATCAGTTTCCACAAAAATATTAAGCAGCACAACTGTTTTTAACATCGATTATAATAAGAAATGTTTCTTGAGCAGAAAATCAACATATTAGAATGATTTCTGAAGGATCATGTGACACTGAAGACTGGAGTAATGGCTGCTGAAAATTCAGCTTTGCCATCACAGGAATAAGTTATATTTTAAAATATATTAAAATAGAAACCAGTTATTTTAAATTGTAAAAATATTTCACAATATTACTGTTTTGTTTTTTTTTCAAATAAATGCAGCGTGGTGCACATAAGACTTCTTTCACGATCTTATACTGACCCCAAACTGTCTAAATATATGATTTGTTTTACTGAACTAACAAGTATTATTTAAAATCAATTTTAGTGTGTTTTGTAATTGGCTCAAAAAAAACTGAATTCATCCTTATGTAAAAATGTCTCTTCAGTCACCACAGCATAGAGTCTTTGACCCAAAGCAATGCAATTATAATTTGTTGTAACCATTGTTGACTCATTAATGTGAATAGCAATATTAAAACAAATATAACAACTTCCTGAAATATTAAGACAGGTACTGTATATATATTAATGCATAAAGACACATTTATACTGTCCGATAAAATTAAGCATGAAATTATAAAGACGTCATATTATATACAAAATTAAATAATTTAAAAATATTTTATTTTAATATTTTAATATTTGAATCCATTTCAATAACATTTACATTTATTTGTATAGTGCCTTTCACAAATAAATACTAACCCTTAAAACCCCAGTGAGCAAGCTAAAGTTGCAGCATAAAAACACTAAATGCACATTTGTTTTTTATTCTTATTGTTAAAGGAAATATGGCTATCATATTAAAGTAAAAGTAAACATGTTTTAATTTTGGTTACTTTTAATTGATTAAAATGTTAACACCCATACTTTTATTTATTTTAGACTCCTAACTCCAGTGTTCACCAGCCTCTTATGGAAATGAGCCCAAAAGGTGCCAATATATTTTCAT